GGGAAAGAGAGAGAGAGAGAGAGAATATTCAGCATGTGTGACTGCTACTAAAATTAATATCTATCATTTCTACAAAGTGTCCCCAACTTATTTTCATGATTTATTTATTTGTATTTTATGTGTACGTGGTTTTCCTGCATGTATGTGGCCCACATTCATGCAGTGCCTGAGGAGACGAGAAGAAGGCGTCAAATCCCATGAAACTGGAGTTACAAGAGACTGGGAGTTGCCATGCAGGTGCTGGGAATTGAACCCTGATCCTCTGGGAGGGTAACTAGTGCTCTTAACCACTGAGCCATCAGTCCAGAGCTGCCCGCTCAACTTAGATTGCACTTTACAATGGGAAAGCGACCCCACTGGAAGTGTAGGAGCATCTGGACTTGACCAGCATTCTACTTAGAATGTTTCTCTTTTTTTTCTTGTTTGTTTGTTTGTTTGTTTGTTTTTGTGATAAGGCTTCTCTGTGTAGCCCTGGCTGTCCTGGAACTCAGCTCTGTAGATCAGGCTGGCCTCAATCTCAGAACTCAGAGATCCACTTGCCTCTGCCTCCTGAGCGCTGGGATTAAAGACGTGTACCCCCATCCAGCAGGATGTTTTTCTAATGGGTGGTGGGTTTATCAAATCTTCAGTTTAGCTGGATGCCAGCCTATGGTGGGTCTGTCTGGGCCAGCCCACCATCAGTTAAGAAGCAGCTGTGTCATCTACATCATGGTCACCCTTGTTGTCTTTCTTCTCTTTATTTATTTGGTGGGATTAGACTGAGCCTAAGACCTCAGGACACAGGCTAAGCAAGAGTTTTACCACTGAGACCAGATACAAAGCCTGTTGTGGTGACTCAAGCCTGCACTAAGGGTCTGGGGTAGGGGCATCACTGTACACTCCAAATCTGTTTGTTTGGTTTTTTGTTGTTGTTTTATTTGTTTGTTTTGTTTTGTTTTTCAAGGCAGGGTTTCTCTATGTAGCCCTAGCTGTCCTAGATCTCATTTTGTAGACCAGGCTAGCCTCAAACTCCAGAAATCTGCCTGCCTCTGCCTCCCGAGTGCTAGAGTACCACTGCTGACTGGAACAGTTTGAATTTTCTTTTGCGGGGGGGTTTTCGAGACAGGGTTTCTCTGTGTAGCCCTGGCTGTTCTGAAACTCACTCTGTAGACCAGGCTGGCCTTGAACTCAGAAATCCACCTGCCTCTGCCTCACAAGTGCTGGATTTAAAGGTGTGTGTCATCACACCTGGCCAGCTTGAGTTTTGTAGTACATCCCAGGACTATCTAGGCTACAGAGACCTGGTGTTAAAAATAAATACATGGGGCTGGAGAGACAGCTCAGTGGTTAAGAGCACTGACTTCTCTTCCAGAGGTCCTGAGTTCAATTCCCAGCAACCACATGGTGGCTCACAACCATCTGTAATGGGATCCGATGCCTTCTTCTGTTATGTCTGAAGAAAGTGACAGTGTACTCACATAAAATAAACCTTAAATAAATAGGCAAATAAATAAAACATTTGGACCAGGCAACTCCAACACCTGGGCTGCCTTTTGGAAGAAATTGGCACTGCGCTCAGATGCATAAACAAACAAACACACAAACAAACACACAGCTCCAAACTTCTCAGGACTAGCCTCTCAACTCTGCTGCGGCTGTGCTCTCTGCAGCTTCAGACAACAAATTAGCCCTGTTCAAGCAAAATTTTATTAACAGAAGTATCAGTATTTGTTAAGATTTTTCTGATACAGGGTCTCATGTAGCCCAGGCTGGTCCCCAGCTTGCTACATAGCAGAGGCCACCTTGGGCTCCTGCTCCTCCTGCCTCTAACCCCCAAGTGCTAATAAGATCACGGGTGTTCACCACCATGCTTGGTTTATGTGGTGCTGAGGAGTGAACACAGGGCTGTGTGCATGTTGCTCTACAGGGCCAGTACTTTACTGAATTACAGCTCTTCTGCTGTTGTCTGTCAGGGTCCCTCTAAGGTAATACATAACCAGGGATGATCTTGAACTTCTGACCCTCCTGAGTGCTAGGATTAAAGGTGTGCACCATCATGGTACTGAGGATGAAACCTAGGGCTTCCAGCATGCTACACAGATGAATCTCCTCCCCCGGCTCTGTTCTGCTGTTCTTCTGGCAAAAGATTTATTTTTTATCTTATGTGTATAAGTGTTTTTCCTGTGTGCCTAGAAGGCCAGAAGAGGGCTTCGGCTCTCCTGGAACCCGAGTAACAGATGGTTGTGAGCTGCCATGCAGGTGCTGGGAATGGAACCCTGGTCCTCTACAAGAGCGGTCAATGCTCCTAGACATAGAGTCGTCTCTGCAGTCCTCTCCCCTCCCCCGGCTTTGTTTTTGGAGACAGGTCTTACTTAGTAGACCCTGACTGCTCCCCTCTGTCTGCTCCCGCCTCAGGTTTCACACACATTCTCCAACTATCCACCCGGCGTCCGCTACATCTGGTTTCAGCACGGAGGCGTGGACACTCACTACTGGGCCGGCTGGTACGGCCCCAGAGTCACCAACAGCAGTGTTATCATCGGGCCCCCGATGCCCTGATGCCTCCTGAGCCCCAATCCTCAGAGCCCTAATTGGTAAAGAGTAGGAAAGGGACAGGCTTGGGAAGGGGAGGGGGAAGTCAGTCACTCCCAGACCTCATTGTTAGTCTTTGCCCCCAGCTACCTCTGTGTGGAGCTTCTAATGTCTGGGCCACCCTCCTCTCTCTAGCCCTCCAGAAAAGCTGCCCCTCTAAGGGGTGCAGTGCCCCAGGTTAGGTAGACACAAGAGGTTTCCATACTTCTCAGAGAGAGGTTTCCCAGCTTGTATGCTTGTTTCTGCCCCTGATCTCTCTCCTTGTTCTCCTTAAGGGCCCTTAGAGCTGGGACAGACAACATATCTGACAGGTTTGGGGACTGCCTTTAATGATGCAGATATCATAAGGCAGACCTGGGATAGAAGGTTCTGCTGTCCAGGCCTTAGCCTGGTTGTCAGCTGCTGTACGCTCTCTGCTTTGGCCTTCAAGTCAGGCCTGGTACCAGATAGGTAGGATCAGATTGTCCTTGTCATCAGCAAAGCCCCAAAGCCAAGGTGGGTACCAATGAGTGTAGGACTCCCCAGAGGACACAGGATAAGAGGCAGGATGGACCAGGATTCTGAGAGCTGGGATGAGGAAACAGTAGAAGGACCTGGCCAGGTTCTCTGTGGCTTGGAAATGTCCCAGCCCCATCCGGAGGAACTTCAGTTCACACACTATCCCCTGACCCCAGCACCACTCTATCCCTCCTGTTACACAGCCAAATAAACTGTTTCTAGCCTCTTTGTGCCCTGTAGCTTTTGGAGGGGAGGGCTGATTCAAGGACAATCCTGACTGGCCCTAGAGATTCAGGGGTGTGGCTGTTGCCCATGCTATAAAGAGGGGTTGAACATTTCAGGAGTGTGCCATGGCATCCCCCAGCTCAAGGGGCAGAGCCCTGGAGTGCAACCCAAGGGGCCATGCCAGGCTCCACTGTTTCCTTGCCCAGAACCTTCTGACTTTAGGTTGATCCCAGCACGCAACAGGTGTTCAATAGTCGTCAAAGTTAACTATCTCACTCGAAAATAAAACAGACAATAAAATAAAACAATAAGCTAGGATGCGCCAGAGTTGACGGCCACCTACCTTGACCAAAATTACTGAATTCCCCTAGAGCTGTCCTCGGCTTGTACTTGATGAATATTTGAGTTCATTAATTAATTAGTAATTTTCACTAGGACCAGAAAAGGTTTTTCTCCTCAGAAAAACCCAGAAAGAAGCTAGACACCAGGTGGTGGCTCAGGCATTTAATCCCAGCACTCAGGAGACAGAGGTTGGTGATCTCTGTGTGTTCAAGGCCAGCCTGGTCTAAAGAGTGAGCTCCTGGATAAACAGAAAGACCTACACTCAAAACAAACAAACAAACAAAACAAAAAACCAATCAAACAAACAAAAAACCAGAAGGTACGTCTCTGCCCCTCCCGGTGGGTGGGGCAGATCCCGTCGTGTGTCTGGTAGGGACTAGATTCTTGGTAGCGCTTCCTTCGCAGGAGGAGGAAGCAGGCCGGAGATTGGGAGCAAGTTGTTGAGCGGCTTGTCGCCTGGAGGGGGAGCCGGAAGCCCAGGAAACCCGGCTGGTGGCGCCCTGGCTGCAGCAGCTTGGCGAGGGGGGATTCTAGAGCTCCGAGCTCATCGTCTTCGCCCTGACGCGGAAGGCCGCTGGTCGGTGCGTGACGCCAGTGGGAGGACCGGCAGGACGGGGCGGGGCGAGGCGACAGGACCGCGTCGCCAAGGTCCAGGCTCAAGGCCCAGGAGAGCTGAGGCCGCCCGGTGCCCAGGTCGCGGCCACTGGGGCAGCGGGGACTGCGGGTGGCCGGCGGGAGGGCGGGGCCGGGATCGGGGCGGAGGTCACGCGTTCGTGGTGGGGGACTCGGGCGGGGCGAGTCCGGCTCCGGGATGCCGAGACGCGGGGACGCCGGGCCTGCTGTAGGTACGCGAGGGTCCCGGACGGTGGCGACACCGGCTTCTTGAGGCACAGGGCTTCAGGCGCTGGGGTAGGACGTCCGCTCGTGACCCGGCCGGAGCCTGGTGTGGATTTTCCCACTAAGGCACTCCAGGGCCACTGTAGTCTCCTTTGCAAGGTAGCTTGGTTGTGGGGGAGAGTATCACTGGAGTGGAATGCCAGCGGGACCACGGCAGGGGCAGACCCCCAACTCGGGGTCCAGTGACTTTTAGGAGTTGCCGATATCTTTTTAATGCGCATAGTTTAAAATATTTGCTGGTTGCTCCTGGGGATGGAACCCAAGGCCTCCCAACTGCTAGATAAGCTTATTCCCACCCCGCAGTGCCCCCTGCCCCACGCTGCCCCCTTGAGGAGGAGACAGACGTTCCTGCTCCTCCTGCCTCCCCCCTGCCTCGATGCTAAGCAGCATCCGGCTAAATGAGTCGTTCCCAGCCCTGTTTACTTTTACTTTGCATTTTGAGACAGGGGCTAAAATGATTAGGCTGAGCTAAAAATTTCAAACTTTCCGCCGAGTATCTGGGGCTGTGGGGGTGTGCCTCCACCGATTTTTTAAAGAAAAATTATTATCATTTTGTATTTCGACACAAGACGTTAAAAAAAGAAAAAAACTGTAAGCATTTGGAAGATCTTGCCCTCCCTAACTAAGCATTTAAGCAGATCCCTCGTGATCCCTTTCCTCCAGGGCAAGGAGGGCCAGACTGTATCCAGCCTCCTGTGTTCTGGGACTGGAGTCCTCATAAGACCACCAGCTTCCAGGAAAGCCTCTAAAAATTCAGAGAAAGCAACAGTTTCTGTTTCCCTGAAAGTGGGTGGAAAAGAGTTTCCGCCCAGGCGTAGGCAGGTGTGCTCGTTTGAGTGACAACATAGTGTCCCACCTCATACCTGGGGCAAGTCCCCGGGGTAACCTAGAGCTTGCAGACAGTCAAACACTCCTGCCCTGCCCAAGGCAACATCTCTGGGTCAGGGAAGTGAACCTTGAAGGACGTTTTACTGCAATGATGTCATAGCAGGGTTAGACACCCAGAACTTAGAGACAGCGCGGTGGCCCTGCCTCTTTCCAGGTCACAGGGCCAACTGGCTTCAAAACAAAGCAGTTTGGGAGTGAGGGGTGGATCTTGAGACAGTTTCCTGTAGCCCGGGCTGATTTAGAAAACTTGATCTTCTTTTCCCCCACCTCCCAATGCATTACAAACAATGGACCACCACATCCGATTTTCTAAACAATTATTTTTCAGTGGAAGGAAGGACGTCTTTAATTTTTTTTTTTTTGTGGTTGTTCTGTTTTGTTTGTTTTTCTTTTTTGAGAGGCAGTGGTCTTGTTCAGCCTCCCAGACTGGCCCAGAACGGCTGGGCTCAAGAAACTTTCTATCCTTGGCTTTCTGAGAAACCGAGTCTTCGGGCAGTTACCATGGCATCCACCTCTACCCTAAGGGCTTTAACTATAAGTCCTGGGACACCATTTAGAGGTAGAGTGCTTGCCCAGGATACACGAGGCCTTAAGTTCCATCGCTAGCACTGCAAAGAATTTTTAAAAGCTTAATTTTGTTCTTGTGGTTTTTGAAAACCAACCTAGGCTGACCTGAGCAGTCCTCCTGCTTTAGGCTCCTTAGTGCTTGGAGCAAAAGCTGCCAAGGCCCGGACCTTATTTGCATTACTCTTTTCCACATAGAACAGCCCCTGCGGACTTCAAGGACCACACTCCACCCCCACCCAGTAAGTGCTTCCTGGCAGGGTTTCCGGTCAGGGGAGGACCTGCCTAACGTGATCCAGAACCTGACGGGAGGGGAGGAGTCTGCCGTTTCAAGCCCTCAGCTCAGGCCTTACGACCCTACCACTCCCAAGCCTGGAAGCATAGTTCTCCATTGCTACCATGGTCAACATCAACGAGCTGCCGGAGAACATTCTACTGGAACTGTTCACCCACATACCGGCCCGACAGCTGCTGCGCAGCTGCCGCCTGGTCTGTAGCCTCTGGCGAGACCTCATCGATGTGGTGACCCTATGGAAGTGCAAGAGCCTTCGGGAGGGCTTCATCACCAAAGACTGGGACGAACCCGTGGATGACTGGAAGATCTTCTATATCCTGTGCAGCCTGCAGAGGAACCTCCTTCGGAACCCGTGTGCCGAAGGTGGGCCGGGGGTGTGCCCTGGGAAGCCTGTCCTCTACTTCCTTGAACCTCAGGGCCTTGGTGCTTACTTTTCCACTCTGATTACAATGTCCCCATGGCCCTAACACGTCCTACACTTTGGTTCCCGGACCTGCCTAGAGTCTTCATCTGTTACATTGTTTCGTGTGCGTGTTTGGGGGATGGGGACATACACGTGCCACAATGTGCACGTGGAAAGAGAACTACTTGAAGTTGGTTCGCTCCTTCCATCACATGGGCCCCGGGATCCAAATCAGGTTATCAGGCTTGACAGCAAGCACCTTACCTGCCTAGCCATCCTGACCCGCTGGGTTGACACCTGATCGATAATAGTCACCAACTCCTTAGTCACCCACTGGGCATGGCTCTGTGACATGAACCTTTGCCCTTTGCTACAGTGTAAAGGTCTAAGGGACACTCTGTATCACCTGGCGGGGCACCTGTCCCTTGTGACTCCTTCCAGGCTTCCGGCTGTCTGTCCAGGGACTCTTTGGGGCTTTACAGATGTGGCCACTCAGCCTCCTGTCACAGAGCAGAGGAAGGATTGAGAGCATAGCAGTCTTGGCCTGAGGCTATTTTTTCCCAAGGTTCTCTTGTCTTTGTTGGGCTTTTTCTCTTGTTCAGTAACTATGCTCCACTCACCACAGTGGCCATTAGGAAGCCCTGTCTGAGCCCGGCACAGCAACTCACACCTTTAATCCCAGCACTTGGGAGGCGGGAAGCAGCCGGGTCTCTGAGTTCAAGTCTAGCCTGGTCTATAGAGTGAGTTCCAGGACAGCCTTAATGAGACCCTGACTTAAAAAAAACAAAAAAACAAAAAAAAAAGCAAGGGCCTTGTCTTCACTTCAGATATCTGCCATCTTTTCTCTCTCCTCGGTGTGATAATGGAATACAGACAGACAGTAAGCGGCTGACTCTGCATCAGAGTACTTTGGACCCTGAGGTTTGTGACTTGGCTTAGCGCTCGGTCATCCGCTGAGGGCGGGTCCTGCCAAGACTCAGGTCAGTCAGAGGACCCACAGGCAGCGCCTCTGATACTCGATCTCCCCACCTGCCCTAGATTCCACTCAGACGCTGCCCAGCCAGGCCGCCACTACCCTCAGCTCGGACTGTGGCCAGCCTAGCCCTGCTCAAATCTCCATGGCTTTAGCTCATGCCAGCCCAGCTCCTGGAATTCTCCTAGTCCTTGCATTCTCTACTGGGGAGCGTCCTAGAACACATGAAAATAGCGTGGGCTCTTGGGAGTGAATAGTGAGAGGACTGGCAGAGTTCTGGTCATGGTTCTGGGCCACCATAAAGTAACACTAGCGTTTTTCTAGGTCCACTATGCTCGATCTGAAGGGGGTGACCCCCTGGATCTGACCCTGTTCCTGTAGGACCCTCATACCACAGGACTCCCGCAGCCACCAGCCCAGGGGACACGGATGTGCCCTCTTGGCATCTGTCCAGGAAAAGTACATCTGATCTTGTGGGAACAGTGGGTCCTTTGGGCCCCTAGAATCTGGGTCACAGTTAACCAGAGCCTCTACCCCCCTGAAACCTGGAAAAGCCAGTGGCCAGGTAAGCGGCCACGTTGGGAAGAACTCCCATCAGGCGTAAGGTCTCCTCCATCACAGGTCTTTATGATCATATTCTCTTTTTGTTGTTGTTGTTTTGTTTTTGTGTTTTGTTTTTTTGTTTTTTCGAGACAGGGTTTCTCTGTGGAGCTCTGGCTGTCCTGGAACTCACTCTGTAGACCAGGCTGGCCTCGAACTCAAAAATCCGCCTGCCTCTGCCTCCCAGATCATTTTCTCTTAAGGACTGAAACATGATGATTGTGGGGGCCCCATGGCCATATGAGATCATGCCCGTGGTCTGGTGAGGTGCTAAACTTGGCTGCATTAATACACTACAGATGCAAACTGATGAATCCTTTGGTATCCACAACCCTGGGAATCTGAGCCCAAATAAGTCCTAGCTAAAAAACTCTCATCACCCCTGAAGTATCCCAGGACCAGAAAAGGCCTCAAAGTTCCAAGCTGCACCTCAGGGCTGCAGCTGCTAACTGAGTGCAAGGGTATCTCACCTGTGCTTCCGCTTTCCCCAGAGAACCTGAGATCATGGCGGATAGACTCCAACCAGGGGGATGAGTGGAAGGTGGAGAACCTCCCTGGGGACCATGGCACAAGCTTTCCTGACACCAATGTCAAGAAGTATTTTGTCACCTCTTATGGGTAAGTGATGATTGGTGGGGGGGGGTAGGAGGGGGGCAGAGCCTTGCTCTGAGGGCAGAGTCTGGGAGACTCTGCCAACTGGTGGGATAGGTGGGGGCCTCTGGAAGCTCAAGGAGGGGTTCCCAAACAGGCGTCCAGGAGCAGTCCACTTGGGTTTCAGGTGACAGGAGTTCACTTAACATTCAGGAGCAAGAGTCAGCAACACTCCATGATGTCCCATGGGATCAAATACTCCCCAGGGAAAAGCAAACTCCCCATTTCCCTCAGATAGGCCCAAAGAGCTCCAGCCAGGGTCTGTCCTGGAAGTTACCTGGGTCCCTTGAGCCATCTGCCTGGCAAGGAAGGGCTCTGTTTAGCATGTTGGCAATATAAGCCTGTCCCCTGCCCCCAGGATGTGCCTCAAATCCCAGATGGTGGACCTCAAAGCCGAGGGCTACTGGGAGGAGCTGTTGGACACCTTTCGGCCCGACATTGTAGTTAAGGACTGGTAAGTGGCCTATGTCTCCATCCTCTGTCTTCCTCCTGCCAAGAGAGAACTCCCAGGGAGGGTTCACTTTCCCTCACAGTGTCTTCAGGTAAGGGCCACCCTATCACAGGTCAACCCCACCCCTCTGCCTTGTTCCCTCCAAGGGTCCATACTTCCTGACAGTCACACAGAACCTTAGCCATGTTTATAGATGGACACTGAGGCCTTCCAAGGAGCTAGCTGCCCTGGATGGAAATTCAATGCCTTCTTATGTAGTGCCTCCCACCCTTTCCTCTGATTATCCCATATGGCTTGAGTTTCTTTGGTGCTAAGGATCTCAGGACCTGATCAATCCTTCTGTATCCACAACCCTGGAAATCTGAGCCCAAAGAAGCCCTAGCCAAAAAAATGTTATTACCCCTGAAGTCTCCCAGGACCAGAAAAGGCCTCAAAGTTCCAAGTGGACACCTCAGGGCTGCATACACTCTCTGCTATGCTCCAATCTCAGCCCCACCCTAAGGCCCTTTTCTAAGTTCCCCCTCTGTGAGCACAGTTCTCATCCAGTGTACCATACGGTGACAGGCTTGGACAGCGTCTTTGTAGAAAGCTGTTTGGTTTTAACCTCACAACCTTCTCTATCCTCCCTAGGTTTGCCGCCAGAGCAGACTGTGGCTGCACCTATCACCTCCGGGTACAGCTGGCCTCTGCAGACTACATTGTCTTGGACTCTTTTGAGCCTCCGCCTGTGACCATCGAACAGTGGAATGATGCCAAATGGCAAGAGGTGAGACCCTGTCTGCTTGTCCCGCCACCCACTCTTCCCAGGGCCGGTCCTAAGGAACAAGGGGCAATTGTTCTACAAGTCTCAATGGTCTCTTCCTCTCTCCTCTGCAGATCTCCCACACCTTCTCTGATTACCCTCCAGGTGTCCGTCACATCCTTTTTCAACATGGGGGCATGGACACTCAGTTCTGGAAAGGCTGGTACGGGCCCCGGGTCACTAACAGCAGTGTAATTATCAGCCACAGGACAGCCAAGAACCCTGCCAGAGCGCCACCGGACACTATAGTGATAGGAGGAAGTCAGCCAGCTTTGGCTCTAACAACCATGAGCTCTTGGGAAGACCTAAGCCCTTAGTGGGCAGTCAGGTCCCAGTCCCGTGAGTACTTGCCATACACAACCTTGGGCGCCCATCAACTCAGTGATGTAGTCACACAGCTCTGACATTCTGTTGTAATAAATGTTTTCAGTAGTCCAGCTTGGTTTGGGGCTTGCAGGTGGGTTGCTGGCACCCCTTCTCGGGGCAGCTTCCATACACTTGTTCATCCCGTTTGGTTAATGACAACGCAGTCAGCCCTTGGGGCCACTTTATTAACAATAACACACGGCACAGTGTTTTCAGATGGACAGTGTCAGCCTGCTGAGCCCAGGAGGCTGCTGAGAGATGGCGTCTGTCCTGGCATCTGTCTGTCTGGGCATCCTTCCCCTGGGCTCCTGGGGAGGCTGCCTCACAAAGGCAAGCAGGGCTGAGCAGCCTGACCAGAGGGGCGGCCACATGTCAAGGCAGTAAGAGCACTTGGAGTCTGGGGCCCTGCAGCACCGCCCTGGGCCTGGTCCCCAGAGTGGGACAGCTGGGCATCTGGCAGCAGGCATGCCCTCAGCTGTTTTTATGAGCTCGCTCTTCAACGTAGAGCTGCATCTAGTACAGAAGTGGCTGGTCAGACTACGAGGTGCCTGCTGGGAAGACTCAGAGGGAAGGGGTAAAACCACCCCACCCCCAAACCTCGGGCAGAAACTTTAGCCTGGAAGCAGCTCTGGGCCCTGCCTACTAAGTGAGGCTTTCTCCGTCCCCTGGCAGCTTACCTTTAAAATGTCCGATGTCATGGTTTTTAGGGGTATCAAGCGGGGGTCATGCATGTGGACATCCTGTTCATCTGCCAGGATCCATGGGAAGTCCTAGGTGGAGGGTTAGAAGGGGCTAGACCTCAGTCTGTCCTCACTCTGCTAACCCTCCCCTCCAGGGCCCATACTGCACTGGGGTTAGTGTGGGGGGGGGCTAGAACACAAGCTCTGCTGTCATCCAACAGGTCCAGGGCAGTTCTAAACTGATTCTGAAACCAAAGGAGAAGGGTTCTCTGGAGGACTCCGTTCAGAGGAGCCAGGGTGGACTAGCTGCTCTACACCTTGCTCCACTGTGGTTCTTCTCACCCTTGGGAATGCACAGGTGTGGTCAGATGGTAATGCACAGGTGGTAATGCACAGGGGAGCCCGCTTGATGCCAGGCAGTGCAGTAAACACCAGCGCCAGCCACAGGCAGCACCCTGAAAACTGTACCCCCCAACCCCGTACCCAAACACACACCTTGATGACCTGTATTTTCTCCATATTCCGAGTGGCGGCTTCTCTTGTGTGCACAAGGACTGTGAATGTGCAGCCTGAGGAGGAAACGACTGGCCAAGGTCAAAGCTAAGCAGCCTCAGATCCCACCGGACTAGGCTACTTCCCCTCCTCCCTCCCGGGCTGGGCAGTGCCACCCACAGGATGGAAAGTGTAGCCAAATGCAAAGAAAGACACGGGGGTGGGGAGGTGGGGGTGGGTTAAATGGAGAGTGTCAGTCCTGGAGAGGACACTCTCAGGTGCTGAAGGACAGAGAGGAAGGTGGCTCAGGGCAGCAAACTAGGAAGAAGACAGCATGCCGCGGTCACCAAGGCAACAGCAGGGGGCGGGGCACCTCACCTGGAGGGTTGTGGTCCAGCACAGCATCACACACGCTGATCTTAAGGATGAAGGCTCGAAGCAGCTGCTCCACGTGAGACAGGAGGGAGTCTGAACTGGGAGTGGGAAAGGAGGGCATCTACCATGCTCCTCCACTACCCCCAGGACCCAGCGCACTCTGGGACAAGCCCTTTGGCGCTGGAGGCCAGCTCAGTCCCACCCACCTGAAAGAATGGAGGAAGGGCTCAAAGGTCTTTTTAGGCAGCTTTAATATTCAGCTGGCTAGAGGCCACCCAGGGTACCACTCGGTCTGCATGCCTCCAGGACCCCAAGACAGGAAGAGGAAGGGTTTGTTTTGAGGCCACCTAGCCAGGGGACGAGCTGATTCCTGATTCTAGCAACCTTACCTCAGCACAGAGAACACTAGCTGAGTAGCTACAAGAGATGCCATGGTAACCAGACAACTTGGTCAGCATCCTGGGCTCTGCAGCCACTGGGTGATACCAATCAGGTCTATTCGCTGGACCTTGGTTTCTCCATGTACACAGTAAGGCTAGGGACTAACATTCATCACTTCCTGAGATGTTCCAGAAGTGACACAGGGGTGACTGTCACTTCTGTACGATTCACAAAATTCTGTGACCAGTGTGTCTCAGATGCTAGCAGTATGCATCGCCACTTCAGGGTCTTTACTAAGGTAATGTGGAGCTCCCTGTGAGACTGCAGCAACCAACTGAAGGAGGGGGACAGCTTACTTGATGGACAGCAAGGGTGGCTGAGTGATCTCAAAGACAAACTTCTCCACTGGGCGGTGTTCCTTATCCAAAATCACCACCACCACCTTCTCCACATCGTTCTGAAAGCACAGGAACCCCTGCCCTAGAGCTATGCACAAGGCCCAGGGAGAGGTGGGACAGGGCACTGAATGAAGCTACCTAGGAGCCCAGCAATTGAGAAGTGCAAGCTGGCTCCCAATTCACAAATGGTACAGGCCAGGGGGAGATGTCTGGCTCCCATGGAGGTTCCCCAATAAGTTTCACACCAGGACAAGAGAGAAAAAAAAAAAAACCCACAAGGGGCCCAGCCCAGCAGGGATGGAACAGGCCAAGGGGACATGAGAAGAACCAGATCTTTCAGGACAGGCCCCCACCCAGATCTGGCCCAACTGATACATCCCAGATGTGACCTACGACCCTTGGACCTATTGCTAGCTTGGGGGTGGTCTTCAGACTGAGGCTTCTGGCTGTTGAAAGACAGCAGCACTTCCCACAGACTCCGCCCAGAAGCAAGGAGGAACAGATGGGGTGCGGAGTGTCCGTTAGGACAAGGGGCCCCCTCACCTTCTCCAGGAGTGGTTTCACGCAGTGAAGTGTATCCTGGATATACTGGTTCAGCTCCGGGTGACAGGACATCTGCACACAACCCCACAAGACCGTTGAGGCCCAAGGCACAAATAGGAGAAACACCAATAACCCAAACACATATATCTTCGGACAAAGAAGAGCCATTCCTAGGTCTCACTGCCTGAGAGAAGCTTATCACTAACTTATCCCTGAAGAGATACTCAAAGACAGACACTCTGTCAGACCAAGTATGGTGGCACACACCTTCAATCTCGGCACTCAGGAGGCAGAGGCAGGCGGGTCTCTAAGTTGAAGGAGGGCAGCCTAGTCTACGGAGCTAGGGCTATACAAAGAAACCCTGTCTTGGTGGGGGAGTGGGTGAAAAAGAAGCTGTGTAGCCACAGGCACAGACAAATGACTTAACATCTCTGAACTGTTAACACAGAGCAGGTGCTTAGTAGCTCTTTGCTTTCAGTGCCTCTGACTCCCTTACCATGGGAAAGGGACTTGAGAGGAAGACAGCGTGTCTACTGTTTGACCCAAGTTAAAGTCAAGAATGGTGACCCATATCTTTAATCCCAGCATTTGGGAGGCAGGTGGTCTCTGAGTTTGAGGTTAGCCTGGTTTACATAGAGTTCAAGACACTCAGAGCCATACTGAGAAATCCTGTCTTGACAAATAAAAACAAAATGCAGGAAGCTTGGCTGTGTTGTCCAGTAATCCTAATACTTGGGGTGTGGATGAAGGAGGATCAGGAGTTCAAGGCCACCCCCAGCTTCCTAACAACTGTGAGCCAGGCTAGGCTACAGGAGGTCTGGATTTCTTAAATAAAATGCAAAATAAAACAGGGGCTGGAGAGATAGCTCAGAAACTAAGAGCGCTGGCCACCGGACCATCGGCGTCAGATCCCCGTCTTCCAAATGCCAATAGTCCCCATGCCTTCTTTCAGCCTCAGTGGACACGCCCCAACACACATACACATAGACAGACACATGCACACACACACACACATAATTAGTATAAATCTTAAAAAGTAAAAGGCTAGGAATGGTGACTCACACCTTTGTTCCCAGAACTCGAGAGACAGAGATAGGAGAATTTCTGTGCGTTTCAGGCTAGCCTGGCCTACAGAGTGGGGAATCCACACCAGCCAAGACTAAACAATGAGACCTATCTTAAATAATTAATAATAAATATTTTTTTAAAAAATCTTTAGAGTTTAGGGAGAATGAGGAGAGAAAGAAGGTGCTGGACACTGTGGGAATGCTCTCCATCCAAACCAAGGTTCTGGGCCTCAGAAACCCCTTTAAAATGCAAGCTTGGAACACCTCTCATCCAGGGCTCCTAATGTAACCCAGAGAATTCCATCCGAGTTCAGGGCGGGAAGGGCTGGGCGGTGAGAGGCAGGAGGCTGTCCGCTATCAGCCTCTGTTGAGGAGTGAGGCAGCTTGTAGGTAGAATAATGGTTTTTAAGTCCAGCCAGGCACCGGGGCTCACCTGAACCGGCACGTTGTACTTCTTGCGCTTCTGGAAGATGCCCACCGGGTAGACCTCGCGTACATAGAGGATCAGGTGCACGGCCACCTCCAGGAACTCGGAGAGCACGTCGGCCACCACTGTGGAGGGGACACAGCGGATGAGCAGGACTCCAATCAGGACCGCATCCCCTCCCGCCAGCAGGCCCAGATCCCTACCTTGGCCAAAGTTGAGGTCTTGGCGCGTGAGGGTGGTCATCCTTGGCCGCCTGGGAGAGGGCGCGGAGGGTGTCTGCAGGGGCTCACAGCACCCGGCCCCGCACGCGGGAAACGCAGCCGGGTCCGGGAAGCCCCACCCCCCGAGCGGCCGGATCCCTCTCGGCGGAAATCCCGCCCTCTCTTCGCTCCTCCCCCGATTCGCCGCCTCCGGCTCCGACCTCAGGTTCGAATCTACGACCGGCCTACAGAAGCCACCGGCTGGGACCCTCAGCACTACTCCTGAATCCCCTGGCCTCAGTAACCACCGCGGTGCTCCCTTGGTCCCAGCGCAGCCATAGGTCACGCCCACCCCGGAGCTGTCCAATCCGGACCTCGCCCTGCTGGGAGAGGCGGGACAGCCTCGGGGGTGGGGCTTAGGGGCGGAGCCCCGCCTGAAGGACAGGAATCTCCAACGAGCGAGCTAAGCCGCCTTTGGACTTCAGGTGGGAGTGATAAAGAGGTTTCGGTGGCCTCTGCACACGATCGCCGTGTTTTCTCCTCCCGGGCATTTCTCTTTAGTTGTTGCAAGTGAGAACCAGCTGCAAACACAGCTGGGTACCAAGGGAGGGCAGCGACATCTGCTGCTACTCCAGAGTCAAGGTCCCCGGACTCTTAGCTTGCCCAACCGAAAGCGAATCCGCAGGCTTGGGGGCGGGGACAGAGAAGGGTGAGAAGCACCCGAGACGCTCCACCCCCACCCGGAACCCAAGTGCATCGGGGCTTGACCTCCCTAGAGAATTAAGTGTCCCATGGTTTCTTCACAATAGCTGACCTTTGGAAGCTGCAGCCGAATGGTAGGCGCTGGGTTGGGTGTCTGCGGGTTGACTGAATAAATCTTCAGAATACGTGTGGGTTCCTGGCTATCTTTTTTTCTGCCGACGAGCCTAATGAGGACTTGTCTGTGTTGTGCAGCAAGCGGAGGGGGCGGGCCTCAGTGCTGCTCCAGGGTCCTTCCTGCAGAGGCTTCTCGGTTTCAGAGAAGCCGAAAGGGCCTCAGATCATTTTAATAGTACGAGAATTACATCCATTATATGGAACCCTTTTATGTTACAAACCCTGAATTCTATTTATTCAATGTGCGTAGGTGTTTTCTCTGCGTGTATGTCTGGGCAGTACGTGACTGCTTGGTACAGGTGAAGGCCAAAAGAGGGCACCAGATCTCCTGAAACTAGAGTTGTAGATGATTGCGGACTGCCATATAGGTGCTGCAAATTGAAACCACCCCCCTCAACACCCAGTACCCTACCTCCCACCCCACCCAACCCCCACCCCACCCAACCCCCACGCCGCCCCATCCCCTGGAAAGTGATCTTAACCACTAAACCATCTCTCCACCTCCCCAAACTGATTTTTATCCTTCAGTAGCCCTAGGAGCTAAGTATTACCTTCACAGCCCAGCTTTATAGATGTACAATAGGCTCAGGAATGTTCCTTCATTCACCAACGCCACACGGGTAAAGCATGTTCTGACACTAGGTGAGAATTCAGCCTAACTCACACCCTTCTGTTTAACTGATAGAAAATCTGAGGTTAGAGGAGTGGCCTGGAGTTAGGGGTGACATGGCAGGCCTAGAAGCCAAGAGAATTTAAAGAAGCGGGCCTCGACCCCTTTGGGGTCAAAACGACTCTTTCCCAGGGGTGGCATATCAGATATCCTGCATATCAGATATTTACATTACAATCCCTAAGTGTCGTAAAATTACAATTATGAAGTAGCAATGGAAATCATTTTAAGGTTGGGGGGGGTCACCACATGAGGAACTGTATTAAAGGGTCACAGTATTGGGGCGGTTGAGACCCACTGGTTTAGACTCTGCTCTACAGGGATGTAAGAGTTGTCTTGTCCTCTGCCTCTATAGGAAATGTTGCTTTAAAACATCCCTAAAAACGTGGCATGCCTGCCCTCCCTCCAGAAGCTGTCAATTCCGTATTCACATCCTTCTTCTCATGGGAAGGAATAAAGAGCAAGCCAGAGGGGGGATTAACCTGGAGTGTGAGCAAAGCAGTTCTCAAAATGCAGACCTCAAAAGTCTTCATCTCAGCCCCCCAGGGACCCTATTAAACCCTGGATGTCCAGCTGCCCTGACTTACCTGACCAGGGCAGGCTAGCAGCGGGCCTCTGCTCTTTAACAAGCTCCCCAGGGAACTTGTGTGCCCTAGAAAATGTGGGGGCTGCCAGTGGAGCTCGCCCGCATTCTGTAACATGTCCGTGCTTAACCTGGTAGAATGTTGGTTTGGCTTTAGGGATTGATAACACCTGTCAGTGAGCACAGCAAGTCTCACGGCTCGGGGACCCTGCCCACATTTCACCATGTTCAGCAGAGCCCTTTCTACGAAGGGCTAGCTGGGACACCTCGCTGCCTTGTAGACCTTAGGGCAGTGAGATTTCATCATGGTGGGGTGGGAAACGCCAGAGTCCTTTATCCAACCCACTCCCAGCTGCTGAACCGCATTTTCATTACCGATGCAGGGGTGGAGGTGGGGGTGGGGGGGATTCCCCCGGGGGTGGACCAAGGGCAGGGGGTGGGGGGGAGGCTAAGGTAACACGGGACCAGCTGGGGACCTCTGCCTTTGGCTCTACAGTGCCTGGGTTTTCATGTTAGCCGCATCAGCACGATGGATGGCCATAAGGCAGAGATTGCATTATGAGGGGACTCATTGTTTCTTGACTCCCCATTTGGCGGGAGACTTTTTCAATGTTATTTGCATGTTCTCACCACGGAGACAGTGTGATGCAAGACTGAGAAGGAAAGTTGCATGTGAAGGAGAAGAGGAAGTGTGCATGCCAACTAGGGCAATTCCCCAGGGACCAGCAATAGGAATGGAGGGGAAAAAAATCACTCCCAAGAGATGTAGAAACAGAGAGGGCAAACTACAAAACAACAACAAAAAAAACAAAAACAAAAAACCCTGTAAGTCCCAATCCAGCAAAGACTAAGCCTCCACCGATGTGCTAAAGGGTTCTTGGGGTGTGTTGAACAAACACACGAATGAATTGAATGGAAACACTTGTCAACAAAGTGTACAGACCTGCGAGATGCTTCTATAGCCAAGTTCCTGTCCACAGAGGGGATCACAAAAGCATCATCCAGGCGGGCGAGATGGATCAGAGGGCAAAAGGGGCTTGCTGCCAAGGCTTGAGTTCAATCCTCAGGACCCACATAGTGGAAGGAGAAAACTGACTCCTGCAAGTGCACACATGCTACCTGCCCCCTAAATAAATAAATAAATAAATGTAAAAAAAATAAATTTAATTAATTAAGAATCAGTGTAGCCGGGCAGTGGTGGTGCACGCCTTTAATCCCAGCACTTGGGAGGCAGAGGCAGGCGGATTTCTGAGTTCAAGGCCAGCCTGGTCTACAGAGTGAGTTCCAGGACAGCCAGGGCTACGCAGAGAAACCCTGTCTCGAAAATAAACAAAAACAAAAGAATCAGTGTCTTTCCCATCTGTCTCCGGTTCAGAACAACAAACACATGGGGGCAGAGAAGGAGAGAAAGGGAACCTACCACAGGAAGCCTGGTGTCAGTCCTAGTACACCCTGAAGCTTCACCCAGCTGCTTGGCCTGCTCCTTGAGAAGGAAGTTGGTCTGTCTGGTTCATTTGGGGGTGCTTAACACCCTACTTAATGCCTGGCTAGCTCAGGTTCTCACAAAACACAGAACATGCTTTAAGTGAATGAAGGAAAGAGGGCGTAATGGCAGGAACTCCTGCCCAGGGGCCTGATCTGCAGCCCAGCTAAGAATAAGCTAAAACCTCTGATGCTAGCACTTGGGTTGTAAGCCGAGCCAGACTGTGGGCTGGTCCTCCGGGAGCCCACCATACCTACAGCCTGCTTGTGTGTCGATTTACAGCTTCTTTCCACCACCCTGATGCTCCTCCAGCCACGAGACCCTTTTCCTTCTTTCAGCCTCAGCTTGCTCATCTGTGAAATGGGAAATTCTAGTTCCATTCCCAAAGGGTTATCTGAGCATGGTGGCACATACTTTGAGTCCTAGCATGTAGGAGGCAGAGGCAGGAAGATTGCCACAAATTTCAGGCTAGCCAGAGTCACACAGTAAGAGTCCTCCTCTAAAATTAATTAAGATAATTTTTTTTAGATTTACTTATTTTTTTATTTTATGTATGAATATTTTGCTTGCCTGTGTGTGTGTGTGTGTGTGCGCGCGCGTGCGCACGCGCCCGTGCGCCTCACACATGTGTCTGGTGCCCAAAGAGGTCAGAAGATAGTACCAGATAACCTGGAACTGGAGTTATGGGCAGTTGAGAGCCATCATATATGGATGCTTGGAATCAAATCTAGGAATTCTATAAGAGCAACAAAGTTCAATCCATTGAATCATCTCTCCAACACAAAACAAAATAAAATTCTATATACTATTGAATAAACACAATATAAATACATAACATTTGTATTGGTCAATTACTGGCCATACGACCATAGTATTAAGATCTACACAGGACTGATGATCCTGATATGAGTTCAACCCCCAGGACCCACATGAGGACAGACGAGAACCCACTCCCACCCAGCTGTCCTCCGATACACACACATACACACAAAGACAAGCAAACACACAAATGCAGGAAAACAAAGATATTAAAAATAGAAGCGCGTCAGGCAGGGTGGTGCAGACTTCAGATCACAGCACTGGTGAGGCAGAGGCCGGAACAGCTCTGTGACTTTCAGGCCAGCGTGGTCTACTACATACAGGTCCAGGCCAACCAGAGCAATGCAGTGAAACTGTCTCAAAAATAGACAACCAACCCTATATAGACTTGTTAAGCCCTCAGGAGAATCACACTGGATAAACAGGAAGCATGGAACCCTCCGTGGGGTCCCCAGCATCTCCTGAACTAGGTCTGCTGGTGGAAGACACCTCTAATCTCACCACTCAGGAGGTGGAGGTTCAAGGATCAGAAGCTCATGGTTATCTTTAGCTACGTAGGGCGTACAAAGCCAGCCTCTGTCTCAAACAAGAGCTATCTTGTCTATCCTTAGCATCGACCTTCCTCTTTTCCATTTCTCAATGCAACAGATGGTTCCCCTGGGTGCTCTGGGGGAGACAGACATATTCTCATCCATGCAATGCACAAAGTGGTGACCAGCATGCAATCCTCCAATCTCACTTGGCTTTCTGGAGCAGGGTCTGGCATACACAGCTGCCTCAGGTCCTAGGATCTCCTGCTGACCTCCAACCTACACCAAAGCTTCCTCCTCAGGCCCAGGACACTGGATAGCTTCCAACCCCTTCAGTTAGAGCACAGCCTGCACACGCGATTCCCTCCCTGGGGGTGCTG